CTCACATCAGACATCCAAACTTCAACAACAGGATCTTCTCCCATACGCATTAGTGTCCATTCGTCACTAAGCTGTTGCATTGCTTGCAAAAAGTATCGACCATCAGTCCAAAGTCTTGCTTCGTTCTTCGTTATAAGTGCCAAACCTAAAACAATCGACGATCAAAAGATTCAATTAACGATTTTTCAAATCCAGAAAGAAAGAACATAAGAACAAACCTGCACTTCCACTGAATCCAGACACGAACTCGCGTCGTTTATCTCTTGCAGAAACATACTCGCTCTAATGTAAAAAAATTGAAACACAATTCGATTAATCAAACATAAAAATCGAAACTTTACTTGATCAAATTCTATGAACGAAACAATGAATTCAAAGATCGGATCATGAATCAAAAAGGAGAAATCAATCGATTAATCAATCATAAAACCTGGTGATAATCTTCGGAAGGAACAACCAAAGCATCAAGAGGAGGTGAGTGAGAGGCCATTAGTGACCTTAAGGAAGAGAGAATTTCAGACATGGTTTTCTATGTTCAGAGAGAAATTGCGTGAATTGGGTTTTTTTTGTCTCGAGGACGAACACAGATTCAGAGGATTTGATAGAGATGATAAATAAAGTTCAGATATAACAGAATATATTACTTCTTCCAAGGAATCCTAATGGCTGACGCAACTCAATATAATTTAAGCGATTTAAATTTTGTAAAATTATATAATTTTATTCAAATTCAACAACTCCAATGAAAAGAAAGAACACAAATCATCATTACAATAAAAATGCCCACAAAATATTTTATTTGTGGAGAATAATGAAAATAGACATGTACACACAAGTCCATTAACGTAAGAACAAGGTTCTTCGAAAATGGGGAAAATGAAACACACTCAAAAAGAAATTGAAAAGAAAAGAAGATTTTTTATATGTTTATTTAGCAATTCAATAAAAAGAGAAAAAGAAGAAAGAAGCCATTTTTTTTTTTGTCTTAAGGTTGTGCAAGTCTCTTGACAATAGCAGCCATGTAGTTTCCTTGATGTTCAGCAAGAGCAAGTTCTGTTTCTGTTGCTTCTCTTGATCCATCACCAGCAAACACACCGGCTCCATAAGGTGAGCCTCCACGGATCGAGTCCATCTTGAACATTCCTGCTCCAAATGTGTATCCTATCGGGACAAATAGCATCCCGTGGTGCACGAGCTGTGTGATCGCTGTCCATCTGCAACAAACAACGACATGGAATCAGCAAAAGTGTTTCAGTGCTTGGCATTGAAATGCAGAGCAAAGGATGTAAGATTCCACAATGTTACGCGTGTAAAGGAATCAAACTTAACATATATAAGCCAAGTGACACAAAAAGAAAGCAATCGAATACATAGAACTTGGAAGTTAAGGACTAGTAAATGCGTACAAGTAATGACTGAAAGAAACTATCGCAGAGCTAAGAACACACGCGATTTAGCAACTTTGGTGCAGAGAAAGTGAGAATTAAAATCTAATAAAGTTAGTTTTACACTTTCTTATAGATCTCTCCTTACTACCAGCTAACACCAGCCTAGCATAAACGCTATCCTATCATACCGAAAGAGAGGACAATGTACTCAATTGTGGCCAGATCGAACTCAGAATGGATGCCATTCCAACCGAATTCCGAAACAAAATTTCTCCTAGAAACCCCTTGAAATGAATAGTGTAGTT